CCGACCTAAAACACCCTTCCATGTTTAGTTACTCGCTCATGCAATTTTTCCCTCGTTTTAAAATTCACATGTATTTAAACATTGTGTAACTTCTAAATTTTTTTTTGATCTTTGAAATTTTTCCTTTGCAATAATATAAAAATATATATTTTTTTTTTCACCATATATGGCATTAAGTTTAAATCATTATAATAAAATTTTGGTATTGAAAAAGAACAATTTACCCAAATTATTTTCAACAATTTGGATAATGAATAGAGCACGAAAGTCAACAGTTATAATAGCTAATAAATCATCATCAATCACATCATCATCAATCACATCATCATCATCGTCATCATCACTACCACCACCCTCATCGCCACCATCAGATAAATCTTTAACTTCAAAAACAATTCCAACTTTCTTTGAAAGATTATTTAGTAATTTTAGTTTTGTTAAGAGTTCGCTGCTTAATGATAAACAAGATAAAATTAAATTATCATTGCCAATAACATCATTATTTAATAATAATAACAATAACAATAACAGTAAAAATAATAACAAAGAAAATACTTGGGATCAAGCAATAGCTGAAGCAGAAAAATTAGTTCAACATAAAGGTGGATCATATATTGATCCTATGAAACTTGTTGGTGCAGATATAATAGATTTAACTAAAAATATAAAAAGACTTTTGATGTTATGACAAAATCAAGCATATCATCTACTAGCTAAAATTAATTAAAAAAACCCCCTTTTTTTAAAATTTATTTACTATTTTATTCTTGTGATAAAAATCATGAAAAATTTATAGGGGAAAAAAAGTCAACAAGAAAAACATACTTGAAAAGCCAATCCTAAATTTCTACCATAATTATAAGCAATATCACAGACTTCAACTGTTGATCCACCAAGTATTGAAGCAGCTCTACAACTTTTTGCAATCAAACTTGCAGTCTTCATATAAGTCTTTTCCATATAATACTCAAAAGTTGTCATAGAATTTTTTGATGATGATGATAATGATGATAATGATGGTGATGATAATTTTATATTGTTCAATTGCATGAATTCGCCTTCAACTAAATTAGCAATAACAGTAGCTAATAATTCAATAACTTCTGGATTACGTAATCTTGCCAATGCTATTGATGCACGAGCCAATAAGAAATCACCAGCAAGTATAGCCATCTTATTACCAAAATTCATATTTGCTGATGGTTGATTACGACGTGTCTCTGACAAATCAATCACATCATCATGAAGAAGTGAAGCTGTATGAATCATCTCAGTTATTTCAGCTAAACGTCTTTGAGTAGGAAGAATTATTGCACCTGTAGTAGAAGAAATAGAAGGATAATAAAGAGCAGAAAGGTCATCTTTTTCATCATTATTTTGATTTAAAGAAGAATAAACAGTGGTGGTGGTGGTGGTAGTGGTGTCATTAAGTTTGAAATTGATTGGTGATAATTGTTCATCTATTATTTTATAAGAATCTTTTTGTGTAAAATTATAATTTTTATCAGCTATACTGGTTGCTTGAGACATTAACAACACAATCAAAGGCCTTATATG